GTCCAAGGGACTTTGTTCTGGCCCTCACCGGACAGTCCTCAAAGCGGATTCCAAAGGGGAGCAGAGAGCGGCCTGGATGCCGACCGGCCCAGTCCTAGAGCTCCTCTCTGGGAGGCCAGACCGGAGCACGCGGGACTGCACCACACCGCGGGCTGGCAGAGCCTCCTGGCTACCCCCACCGCTTACCCAGCCCGGTTCGTTTTCCAAGCCGGTTATTGTCTGCTGCGCTGCCCTGGCCCAGGCTGTATCCTCGGCTGCCGTGGCTGAGAGAGCAGCCACCGCTGCTTCTGCCGCCGCTGTGGCTCCAGTCACCTCCTGCACTGGCTCCCCTTCCCCAGACTCAGGGCAGCTCTCCATGCCCCCCTTCCCCCCAACACCACAGCCACAGGGTGGGGCGTCCGCGCCCTGATTGGCAGGCGTGTGGCCCAATGGCCAATGTGGGAAGGCGTGCCTTGACCCGCCCACTGTTTTCCTCTCTACCTTTCTCTTTAAATGCAAATAAGCCTGAGCTTGGTGTTGGCTGGGGACTAGGAGGGTGCAGAACCCCTCGCTGGGACTCCTCACTCCCGCCCCCAAGCCAGGCTAGTGGCTGCTTGGGGACTCCGGGAGCTCCTGGTGCCGGTTCAGCCCCAAAAGGGCTCGCTGGAGCCCTGGAGCTCAGTTTCGGTTTTGTATGAGTCTCATTTCCGTGGTCGCAGTGCAATCCTTCTGTGGTGCCCTGGCTGCCAGCAGGCAATTTATTCCAAACCAAGAGACAGGCGGAGAGAGGCGGGTCGAGTGGCTGGGGAGAGCCAGGGGGAACTGCAGAGCCCTTTGGAACCTCTCCAGGCCCAACCTTAAGGCGTGGAGAAGGCCCCGCAGCCCAGGCTTCCAGGCCGCTGAGAGGAGGGACTCACCTGCCAGGAAAGCCAATTGCAGTGCCCGCGCCCCAGCTTCATCCGCCTCTTAGGCACACCAGGGCCTTTAGGGACCATCTAGGCCAACTTCCACCCGTTTACAAAGGGCCTGCTGCTGCCCAAAGTTGGAGAGGTGCATTCCCAAGGTCACCCAACACACCAGCGACAGGGCAGACTTGGAATTCAGAACTCCGGGCCCCTGCTGTCCAGGGCTGCTTTCACTTTTCTTCTCTGGAGAGATCTGTTTTCACAATTTGACCCTCACCTAAATTTCCCACCTTTCACAGAACTAGAGGGGATTCTCAAGGTCTACAGAGGCCCCCCTCAACCTTTTAATGGTAAGCCAGGCTTTGTACAGTTTCCTGTCCTTGGAAAGTCTAGATATTGAAAACAAAAAAAATCTTGTCTGAGCCCAGACTGGAGGTCTCAAGGCTGAGGGCGGACTGAGGAGGCCTGTGGCTGTGGCAGGGGGCCAGCCTGAGCTTGGGTCTCTAACTAGCTTGAGGGCTTTATGTGGCATTAGTGGCTACCAGGGCCAGGTGAGCTGAGGCAACAAAGAATCCAGTTCTACTACTAGTTCAAGAATATCCAGAAAGCCCAGCCCTAAAACTCTGTGAATGTCTTAAAACAGACATTGGGGAGGACATGCAGGGGGATTAGATGGCCTGCCATTTTTACATTGTAGGAGGAGTGTTCTCTGCTGCTCTACTGGGTCCTTTCTGCCTTGAAAAGATCCGGCTGATAGACTGGGAAGAGGAAGACTGCTATCTCTGCATGTGTGGTGCTCAGGAACTGACATTGCTGCTAGATCTGGGATCTGGCTACAGCTCTGCCTCAGACTTAAAGTATGACCTTGACCAGTCTATTTTCCTCTCTGCACCAGTCCATCACTCCATCTCCACAAGAAGAAGGTAAGACTTGTCAAGCTCCTTGATCTCTTCCAGCTCTGACAGTTCAACTTAATTCTTTCTATAATTTCCATAATGTTCTATGACCTTCATGACATTTTTTACATCTCCAACAAAAATCAGCAATTTGAACATCAAACTTTCTAGTCCCAAGTCTAAATGAATGACAGGGAGGAGGGAGCTGCCACTGGATGGCTCATTGTGGGACTTTTTTTTTTTGGCAAGTACCTTCTCCTTCCTAGCCTGAGTTTCCCCAGATGATTGGCTGGACAATATTATTTCCCTGGAGCTGTGGTTTCTTGCTTTACAAAGTCCTGATTCTCAATTGTTGAACTTGATTTGGGGGTGTCCTTTTTCCAGTGTCTCTTTTATAGGCTTCCTCACTGCCTTGTGCCTCTGGTTGTTTTCCACCTGTTCATAATTCACCCAGAACCTTGATTCACTGAAATAGGCCAAAGATTACAATTTGGAGAAGACAGTTTCCAAATCTTAAGCCCAGGGAAACAGGTCCAGGATAGTGTCAGGGAGAGAGGTGTGCTAGTCAAGTGGTGGGCTTGAAATAATCCTGAGGCAAGGGGGCACTGTTGCACTGCTCTTGTCACAGGGGCTAGTCCTCTATGTCCTCTGCTCAGCTGCCAAACATTCTGCCACACCAGTCAGCTTTGGGACTGACAGATATTAAACATTGGGTTGGGCCTAAAAGAAATTGGCTTCAGAAAAAAACAGAGTAGTCTTTGACATGCTGAAGTGGTCTCCCAACTGGTCCTGATATTTCTAAGTCTTGAGAGAAGATTATGTATGTACACATTGTTGTGGAATTGGCGCGAAAGAAGAAAGAGTTGAGCACTCAGAGGTATCAGGAAAGAGGCCTTTAATCAAAGCAGCACTGCTGGCTCAGGGGACTCAAAGATCCAAAGCCTGAATGGCTAATACAATAAGATTGCTCCTTATATATTCCCGAGTTTCTTTGTTTCCTAACTACCGGGTTTCTGTGGTGGGTTTTCACAGCTCCTCCTGAGTCAGTTAGAATGGGGAATTTAGATTGTATCTAAATGCCTAACCTGGATGGCACCAGTAACCTCCCTCTAGCTAAGCTGTTACATCCTTGGTTTATGGCCCTTATAAATTGGGAGTATTTAGGTAAATAGGTCTTGCAAGACCAGGTAATTAAGGAAGGGGCAGTGACTTGATTATAGGCTAACAAGAATGTGCAGTAGGATACTGATAAACTAGGTACAGAGTCAGGCTGCTAGCCCCCTACATTTTTTCACAACATAAAGGGGAACAGGATGTGGGAGGAGGCACAGCTCTTTGTTTGTATGGCCCACTCCTCCCTAGGGGCAATAGAAGGAAAAACCAACTGTGGGCATAAACTTGTACCTCTAAATGCCTTCTTGAAGAGGGAGCCCTACAGGCCCCCATTCCACATGCTGACTGACACCTGATCAACTTCTTTGGTCACTGTTGGTGGGGAACAAGAATATTTTCTTAAGTTTTTTTCACCTACAAAATGAAGATAATCCCTCTGCTGCCCAGCATCTTGTGACTGCACAAAAAAGTCCATGAGAACATACATGCAGGCTATCTGGAGGCAACTTCATAAACTCAAGTAGACAGACTGATCGATATGACTACAATTCTCATTTCTTTCTAATCAAAGATTCTATGGGCACCTCCTCTTTGCCAGGCTTGGTGATAGGCATTGGGAAGAGGGGATACAATGGTAGCATCCTAGGAGAAGGGGGTGCTCTGAGGATGGAGTTGTGAAATGAACTGAAAACCAGACTAGAGGTCTGACAAAGGTGATCTAGAGCATTGTGGATTAAGTGATTCCTTCTCCCCAGTTCGGGAGGGGCATCAGACAAAAGTTCCCTGGAGGATGGCCTTGGTGATTATGTCAAGTCAGAGAAGTAGGGGAAGGATTCCTGCTCAATCCAAAGCCCATCAGTGTGAGAGGGTATGGCAGTTTGGCAAGACCTAGGATTCTGGACCCTTGGGGCTGAGTATTTGTATAGGGAGAGAGGAAGAGTTGGAAATAATGGTAAAAAGAGAGGCCTGGGGCCAAAGGGTAAAAGACAATGACTGTCCAGCTACATTGAGGCTCAGCTAGCTGTTTGTCTTTCCCACGAAAGCAAGCAGTATAGTGTAGTGGCTCTGCTATCAGACTGTCTGGGCTGCGATGCTGGCCCCACCACTTAGGAACGGTGTGAAGTGGGCAGGTTATTTCCCATCTCTCAGTTCCATTTTCTCTTCTGAAAAATAGGATAAGTAATAGTATCCATGTCACGGAGTTGTGATGAGAATTAAATGAATATTCCATGTGAGTGTTTAGCACGGAGCCTGATACATATGAAGCTTTCAATAAATGTTAGCTGCTGCTGCTGTTATTGTTGTTGGTCTGCTTATGATCCAATGTACAGATATTCAAAGTTATAGAACTCATAATATGACTTTGAAACCACCTTTTGATATAAACACACATGAGCCTGTGGTTCCTTATACACAGATTCCTTTTGATTGTGCAGAGCTAGACTGTTTCTTAGGGGAGAGCATCTTTATCCATCTTTGTAACCTCAGCACCCAACAGAGGGCTTAGCACAAACTAAGTGCTAAGCATATGTTTGCTGAACATAGTAAAACAGCGCATCTTCAGGTCTAATGTCACGCTTAGTTTCCAGCATCTACCAGTGAAGTGTGATGTTGCCACTGTTTGAGCTCCTCCTCTATGCCAGGCCCTGTGTTTGGTGCCACACACATAGTGGTGAACTAGACACAGCTTCTGGCTTAAGAGCAGTCAGTGTGGTAGAGGAGGCACACAACCCATCAGACCAATGCCCTGCAGTTTCCAACTTGGTCAAGGCACTGGAGAGTGTGGCCATCCACTGAACTGAAGAATATAGGAACAGGATTAGGAAAACAATGATTAGAACATTCCGAGTTTCACTTGTCTGATATCCCACCTCTAGACCTTTGCACTTGCTGTGCTTTCTGCCTACAATGTTTTTCCTCTGAATACTGACATAGTTTGTGCCTCATTTCCTTCAGATGTCTACTCAAATGTCATTTTATTTTACTGAGACTATCCCTGGACACTTGTAATATAAAATAACAATCCCCATTCCTACAGCCTTCACTTTCCAGTCCCTTAATAGTCTTTTTTCTTATCTCTAGCATTTACCAACTTCTGGTACATTATTTTTATTGTTTATTTATTTATTTATTGTTATTTTAATTGTCTATTTCCCATCATGATAATGAAAGCTCATGAGGGCTAACAGACAATGAACATAATACATAAATAAAATATACTAGTATAGTGTATCAGATGGTAATAGGTGGTATGGAGAAAAATAGAGCAGAAAAAGGATACAGGGAGTATTGGTCGGAGGGTGCTATTTTAAACAGGGTAGTTGGGATAGGCCTCACTAAAATATCTGAGGAAAGTGAGGGAGTAAACAATGAAAGTATCTGGAGAAACAGCATTCCAAGCAAGTGCAAAAACCTTGAGGTGAGAACATGCTAGAATGTTAGAGGAATAACAAGGCAGCTGGTATAGCTGGAGGAGAATGAGTGTGAGGGAAAGTGGTAGGAGAGGGGGTCAGAGAGGACATGGGAGGCAGATGGTGTATGGCTTTGAGAGTCATTTTAAAGAATTTAGACTTTGTATGATTTTGATCTTAGGATTGGCATGCTCTTAGTGAAATGTCTAGGGGGCTATAGCAGCAAGGGAAGAAGAAATGAGACCAGGAAGGAAGTTACTATAGTTATCCAGGTGAGAGATAATGGTGGCACAGACCAGGGTGGAGGCAATGGAGGTAGCAATAAGTGGTTGAATTGTGGATGTATTTGGAAGATAGAATTGATTAGTTGTTGGTGACACCAGGATCCCACAAAAGCCCTAAGAGGGAGGGATTGCCAAAGTGAGACCTGAG